TCTTATCAGACACTTAAAAGCAGGTTTTGCAAGTAACTGACAAACTGTCACAGCTCAGAACACGCACACACGAGCAAAGCCTAAACAACGGATTTGGGAGATGGTTTGGTGCCAATAACATAAATACTTTAGTCAAGTCCACATTTTTGTTTTTCTCTTATCAACAGAAAGGCAAGTTTAAGCATGAACTACCTGGTATCTTCCCTGAGGAGCTATGCAGTGTTGCAGGGGCTCCTGCCTGCTAAAACATTTGCATTTAGTGCAAGGCTCAGCATCACATGTAAGTAATCCCTTCTGATATCCCCACATTTTTTTCTATAATTCAATGAACCACTCCCAAATCTGAAAGATGATGTCTTTTGTCCGTTATCTTTGTTCCCATTTCAAAGGGTTCATTATGTTTATACTCTCTACCGTTGGAGTAGAAGCACAGCTTGGAACAACTCCTTACATAAAACACATTGTGGTTGGAAGATGTTTCACTTACTCCGCAATAGTTAACCCCAGATTAAGGTAATTTACTGTGCATGTATTTGCGCTGCATTTTTACACTTGACGGTTTGAACAAACATCCTACTGTTGTTGAGCATAAAAGCTCAGACCAAAGGCAAAAGAAAAGGTTTCCGCTGCCATCGACAAAAGTACATGATCAAATTTCCGATTCATTTATGGCCACGTAACTAATGTCAGCTCATGAAACCTTTTTTTCCTGTGCAGGTATGACTGTGAAGAGATTTGGACACATTTTGAAGAGGCTGTTATCCACCGGCCATCTTGTAATGTTACAGTTGAACATTATAATCAGATGTTTCATCTGATGCCACAAATCTGGCCCTGTGAAAAGGTGATTAGTGTTGAGATTCTTACTCCGCATTTAGATCAAGTCATCTCCCCGGACTGTCTGTTTAAACTTTATTTCTTTTCTTTTGTCTAGTTCCTTTTTTGGAGTAAAACCAGGGCGCTGATGCACAGCTATGCAGCTGTTTTTCGACACTTCTGGACACTTGAAGACACACTGGCAGGCTACATGTTCAACGATCTCGTGTGGTGTGGCCAGGATGAAGATTCTGGTAGATCTTTTCTGGGTGTGATAGCACAAAAGACTACGAATTACACAATGCTTAACAGTATTGACCAAATTCCCTGATACTGTGCACCAAAAGATCTATATCTGTTACCTATAATCTCCCCCTGACAAATCTCAACAGCATCAAGTTTAACAGGAACAATTATCAGCTAGTTCACTAATAACATAGTCAACCAGGTAATAAACCTTGCAAAGCACAATTAAGCATGACTTAGCATGACTTTTGAATCAGATCAGGCGTCTGCGATCTATTGGGCGGAATAAGAAAGTTATAACACCTTACATACATAAAAACTTTAACAAAGAAGAAATACTTTGAATGGGTCAACATAACATAACAAATATTAATTTCCTCTGCAATAATCTGCAGTTTGTTATCAAATGTAGCAGAAAAAGTCATGGAACAGCTGCAGCTTTAATAACAAGCTGTATCTGCGCGTCTGCATACATTTTTTTTTATTAAGTATTATTTGGAATTTTTTATCTCAACTTATGATATTTGTTCATTCGGTGCAGGTTTTGATTTTCAATTTTGTCCCGAGTGGGCAGCATGTATGAACCATCCTGTCTATTCCCTGTGGAGGCAGGCCTCA